GTAGGCACCTAATCACCTTCACCTCAAACGACGACTCACCATTATCTATTAGTGATATATCAGTTCAAATATGGAGCTTTGATTGGCGGCAGACAGGTGCTCTCTTCACAGTCAGACTCTGTTACAACAACACCACTTCTTCAACTGAGTCGAATGTCTCCTTCACGTCAAGATATATGGCATATGTCGAGAGCCAGTAAGTACGCTTGTGTTCCAGAACCTGTCAAACTGTACAAATACGGTCGATGCACTCTTGTCCACATGTGAAACCTGTCTCAATTTCTCCGACTTGTGGTTCTCTACCTCAACTTACATGTCGTATATCTACAGACCCTAGTATCTTGCACACAATGTCAGTAAGACTGACGCTTCTATGGCTGTCACAACAAGACTTCGCTCACTTCTTACAGACAGAAATAACTAACGATTTAGGCCAGTCTGATGGGACCACCTCTGATTCACAATCACTAGCTGATATCTCGGTTGATCTGCTCACTGACTTCCCACTTGCATTCCTAAAAACCTCTCGAGGAAAGCCAATGCTGATGCTTCGAATCACTTCGTGGTTGAAGCAACCTTCTCAACTTCAAGGAATGTTGGAGGAGTAACAGCTATCTCACTATGCGGTTCGGAGTGGATTTCGGGGAATTGAGTCGTGGTCGGACACCGGTTAGACTGTCCTTCAAAGTGCTCCGCACAAAGTTCTAGCTGCCTTTCTTGAGGCGTTACCAGTGACCTCTAATCTCGACGATTGTCTCGTGTGTGTGATCGTCTTCTTGTTGGTTTTCGTGACAAACGCAAACAGTGTCCGAGCGTTACCCAGTACTGGCGCCTAATCCATCTCCTTCACCTTCACCACCACTGCTAGCCAATTTACGTTTGAGTTGCTTTCCCTTTTCGTCGTGTTCGGAGCCAGCTGGAATGAGCTTTTACACATCAGTCGGGTCGTTTGAGGTTGCGGTAATCCACTGGTTTTTGTTAGTCTTTGGGTATCGGTTGGTTACTATCTCTGCAGTTGTGTTTCCACAGTACACAATATCATACCAAGCTTCATCCTGGGGAGAATTACTGTCATGTTTAGATTGATGTCTAGCTTCCTTGTCTGTGACGTTCTCATTTTTCCAATGGAATGCACAAGGTTTTAACTGCATTGCTTATTGCGCCAAGTAATAGTCAAATATGCAGTGTATCGCAGCAACGCATGTTCGGGGTACGAGCAGGTACTTTAAAAAGAGTGGTGACTTTCTACTGATGCTTTCCAGTGATGGCTTAACACCAATGATCCTTTTGGGTTCATAGTTGTTTTGCTGCTACGCCTACACCAGTGAGTGTCTTTGGATCTTAGCACAACCGTAAAGTGAAATTAGCGGATTCACCACAGTGGACAGGTGAGGTCAAATGAATAACCACATATGAGGTATGGGCATTACGGAAACATGGGATATACCAGTGGCTTGAGATTGGAGAGTTTTGACGAGTGATCCTTATTGTCCGATTTGATGTGGGGTTCAGACGTTAAAAGTATCACTGTAAGAGTGGTAGCGTGAATTTAGAAGTTTAGGAAGTGTTTCATTCGCTCAAATCGTTAGCAATGGTCGTGATATAAGAAACTCAGGGACCTGAAAGAAGTTTAATGTTTGTAACATAAGACAAGAAAAGAGGGAAAGATAAGCGAGGTAGGTTATAGTTAGCTGAGTTTTTTATCCTCTTGGAAGCCTATGACGGGATGGTCAGTCAGTTAATCAACATCAGAATGGCAGCCCTATGTAACAACTCAAGTTACCACGCCTGAAATGACAAAACTAAACGAGAATGCACCAAACAAAAGATGAAGAAGAAAGCAGTCAGAAATGATAGAAAATCATCAAAAGACAGCGAGACGGAAAACGACGATACTGAAAGACCATTTTGAGATTAAGATGAAGATAAGGTGTGGACACATCTGCACCCCTGACATCGATTCGGAGTCATATCACCTACACTATCGAACTACAGATTCCGGTTGAAATGAGAACCCGAATGGGGAAGTGTACACAGTCACCAACATTCACTTACTCCGTGAACTGATGCTATCTGGGCACCTTCAAGCTAGAACTTTTTCAGCTAGGGATATACGACGGGGTACATGGTGACCAGGTAAACATAACATATGTCCCAGACACCCCAGCCGATGAAGGTCCACAACTTTACCAACTCGGTAACCTATTCTGCCAAGGTGATAGTGGTCTGATGCCTGAAATCTCGCCATATCGTCAACTTTCAATGATCATGTAACATATCTGTATAGTAGAACAAAGCCAACTATATACCCTATTCTTACAAACAGTTGGATATCACAGGTGCTTTATAATTCGGAAAAAGTCAAACAAGCCTTCGGTTTCCACATTTAGGGCTTCTCCGACTTGTCACGTAGGTGAAGTGTCAACGGGCTCAACCATTTCACTTCTCATAGTTAAGCAAGGCACCACTGAAGATCAGTCCGGGAGCAACAATTTGCATTTGGATGGCGAGAAACGTGTCCTAAACATTCACAGATTTCCACTCAATGTGCCTACAAACAAGACTCTGAACCTTGTCAGTCATCATCTAACAGCGCTATGTCACCTGAGTATTCTAGGTATACTTAAGATTCTCTTGCGATAAGACCCACCGCTGTGAAGAAGAACGAAGAGAGGAACCTCCATAAGTATGACAAAATTAAGGAAGAATGGAGAGAGTGAACACCACCTGGCGTTCACATCTAACCTGATAATTCACCGAAGGGTCTGACATGCCAACGGGTGTTCGAACACAATAATTTCGTCAGGCTGATGCAGTTACTTGCCACTCCTTTCAATGGAAAACACTGCTATAAGACCACTCGATCGATGGAGTCGAATGGCACCTTCAGGTTGACAAATACAGCCAGTTGCAGGGCCAGCAAGACACTGTTCGCCAAACTAATTTACCTACGATCATCATATGAAGACTTCTCGCTTTTCCGGAAGACTAGAATAATCAGTGATCTAAACCAAACAGAAGGGGTCATATCTGACTCCCATACGACGACTAACACTTCAGTCAACCTAATCAATAATTCACGACCATCGTCTTTAAATATTCCAGAAATAACTCATCTTACATTATTAGCCTTCCCAGCATCAGATTACTAACGGCTTTTTCGACTTTAGTAAGTTTTGCAGAACTTGTTTCAACGTTCCATTCAGCTCTGACTGGATGGTGGCCAACCGAAGAGCGGCTAGAAGTCAGTTAAACTGTTCCTCGAAGCCTGCTAACTATCTCCTCAGTTGTCTGCTTTGCGAGCGAATCGGAGACCTATTCTTTTTCGCTGTAGTCTCACTAATCACTGACTCTTACCTTAGTTTCCTTGGGCAGTTTAAATAACTGTCCACTGCTACCTATCACTAATTTCTTCTATCTCTTTAGCCTTCACCACCCAACAATTGCTCGGGGTGATTGTGTAGACTTCCTTTCAACCTAAATCTAAGTTGCTCCCGCTCCATATTTTGCTCGGAGCTTGGAAGAATGCGTTCACGCCGATCAATTTATTCCGAAGAGACCACTGAAACCCATTGGCCCGTTTCGAAACACTTTCTGAGAGTCATTTATGGTCGTTTACACGGTCTGTTCAGCTAATTCTGGTTGACTGGGGTTGTTTTTTCTCGACAAATCTCTAGCCAGGACTCACTGAAAGCAGCCATTAGTATTTTCATCATTAATCAACGTTTCAGTTTCTTTACGTGAAATTAGGTGGTGAAACAGGTGTGCTTGAGCCAATGGGCGACAGCTGTCTAAACATGTGTCGCAGAACGAATGGCGATCTTCCACCGACCCCCTCCAAAGACAGATGATAGTATTATAGTCTACCTGTGACTCCCGTAGAGTTGAAGTAGGTTCTAAATTGTTTGTTTTGAATCCAGCTACAAACCCCTATGGCAAGTAACGGAAGACCGCGGAACTAGGGGAAGTGTGCTATTTTGGGGGCCGACATTTGACTAACCACACTCCTATATGGAAGACAGCACTAGCATGACTTTGCGCGTCACCCACAGGAAACACAACTGCTGTCAAGCCATCATCCAGGAGTACAAATTCCCTCCTCGAGCCCCACTTTATGGCGTTTCGATTTACATTATGACTGCAACTATATTTTGTCTTACCACCATCGAACAGACCCTTGTGTTATGATAGGAAGTCAAGAAAACTGTTCAATTTTGGGGGTATGTAGGGATCGATTGACTTCGGCTTGTGATGAACACCGCTTTAGAAACAATCAATCTCAACAAAACCCCAAACTGGAATGCGGTCCAGCGCTCATTAGAGACATGTTTCGAGACGAGATGTCCACTGCTCCCAGGTTTGTAATGGTCCTACAACAGATTTCGGTTCGTGATACATAATACCTTGAAAAACTGTCCAAGCCAACATAGCTCATTTAGTAACCTAAATAGACGAAGCCGACCAACGCGTCAAGGTTTTTAGTTGCTTGAGCAATCGCGTACTCATATATTCAGTGATCCTTTTTTATTGCATAAGATTGTTCAAGAGGTAAGCTATACGTATATTCACGCGTGTAACTGGCTATTTAATAAAAAACGACAAAGCTTCAGAATATAAACGAAAGGTTTTCTTGCAAAATTTCCTTGTTCATCAACATTTAATTCAGATAATCTTTCATTGAAGTTTATCAAATACAAACAAAAGTTTGAAACCTGACTTTTTGAAAGAAGCTATACAATTACCATTTCGTTTACTTTGAGTTTAATCCATGTGGTAAACTACAAACTTCTTAGTTAGAGAAACTAATTAGCACGACTCGGAATTATTCACAATTGAACAGATGCCTCGACTGCACACGGAAACAAATGATGAATGCATCCTCTAAGTTATGCTGGATTCCGACATGCGTTAACTTATCAAACAACCCTAGATTGCTTTAGATATCACAGTTGATACGGTAAAATTATTCCAAATAAGAAAATATAACATAATCCACTTACTTTATTTTGTTCAAATAAACGTGCTACATTTGCTTCACTTTCACTCAATAACTCAGAAAGGTATTCAACTCGACGTTGCTGATTAGCTAATGCAGTCTGCAAGCCACTTGACTGATTGGGTTGAACACACCGAACTTCTTGGGATGATTTGACGAAGTTTTGAGGAGAATACGTACTTTCAGGTGATATATATTGATCATGACGATTAAGAAGCTGTTCCAAGGTAGGAATAGTAATCTGAGGGATAACAGTTGAGAAAGAAGAGTTGGTCAATCAAAGAAAAGTGAACGTAGAACACGATATGAAACTGCAGTCGACCATAAAAAACGAGATTTATTCGGCTGTCACTAGTCATAAACGCCTTATGTCTAAGCGTCAGGTTTAGTATAAAATTTACCATTCTCAACTCCAGGTTTTTCTCTAGGTTAGAGACTCCACCACAATGTTGACCTAATACGATTGAATGGGAAAACAAACTTGAATCAGAGACCTTTATCAAGCAGGATGATACCCAGAATCCCTTAAATCCATTCAGATAATTCCACCGAACTATTACTATCTGAGACGCTAAAGCGCCGAACCAGATCGATGAACAATAATCGTGCGTTAACGTAAGAATAGAACGGAAACTTATTGACAGGGTGCATTTGTAACCTTGTAAAACTCGTTCATTTCAGAAAAGCATAAATCGGTTCTATATTAGTTACGACCAGATGATCAATTTATGTATGTATTTCATCTTTGTAGAAAACAAGTTATGGTAAAGTTGCGATAAAGCTTTTGCCTTTGCAACCGAGTAGAATAACTTCAGGATCTGAAGGAAACATGAGTTGCCTCAAAGTTAGGGATAAAATTCGCCCATAAATCTCAACGAAAACAAATCTTCGACTCTGGGCCTCGCATAGATCGATGCTTAATATCTTACAAAGTATTATCGACTGCACGACATTTGGGACAGAGTTCGTCACCCACAATCATGTTAAGACAGTAATAGAACGACTGACAGTCTCCTTTTTAATCCAACGGTAGTAAAAGGATTCACATATTCAGAATATGTTTATTCGACTGGAAAGGACTTGATAATAATACTGCATCACTGTGGGTCATTTCGAATAAATAGTTTTGATGTCCAGTGACTGCGTATAAACAGGTAGAAAAAATCAAATATATTTTAATACTGGTCATTCTACTTTTCTTTCTTTCAATTCATGTTCCTAATCGAATAACAAGGAACATCTTAACATTTCTTGTAGAATGAATATACAGCGAAAGCGCAAAATTGGAAAAAGAGGACATGCTACTGATAAAGTTATAACCGTTTCTTGTTACTTAACTAAGTGTGACGTAAAGTTTCATCATTCTTAAGCATCCCCAAGTAGGTAAAATTGACAACAACCTTACAATGCATTAAGATCCAATTGCAGGATATCATGCTGTCATAAAAGTAAAACAAAGGGTACAAAACATTATCGCAACAATCTGTGTAGATTTATCATCTGTTCAGTATACTGTAGAGCATTTCATCAAAAAATGTGTACCCAGCTACAGTAAATGAAACCTCATTCTATGCCATTTTTGTGACACTTTCTAAAAGTGTGTCAAAAAATAAGTTCAAATAACAATGAAAGAAGAATCCTTTTCATCTGATCTGCAACTCTGATGGATGATAGCGACACAAACCAGACTATAGATATTCGTTTACTTCTGCTTTTAATACCAATATCCGAATCAGTTGATTGATCAACAGCCTTCCCATAAATAATACTTAAGCATTGTGAGTGAAATTAATGATATCTAAGCATCCATAAGAGTTATAGTAACTTCATAATTATTTGGATTTTTATCAGCCTTGAATAAAGTCGTCTAACACCAACATTCCTCACGTAATATAAAATGGAACAGAACGAGAGCAACAATCTTAGCAGTATAATGTGCATAGCTTGAAACTAAAGGTTCCTCGTTAGCAGTTTGCAAACTCAAACAATTTTGATATCAGAAAATAAAGAAACGTTGGCACACTTGAATGAATTTGTCAGGTTACCAACATTAAGAGAGATAACACTGACGACGTAGTTGAGATATAAGAGTTACAAGACGAATAACAAAGGTTTCCTATACAAACAAAGATCCGATGAATATTCTATAAGTAAAGAATTTGGACATAAAAGGGAGATTGGTAACGTTAATACTGAATAAACGCGTGTACTCTTAAAGTACAACTTCCTCTCAACTTTAGTCTCGAGGGCCGCACAGGGGCTCTAAAACACGAACAGGTGGTAAAATCAGGCATGTTCAATAACAATTTAAAACTGTTCGCAGCCATGTTGACGTGCTGATTGCACTTGCAATCCCTAGGTAGGAGGTGCATTGCCCAACCGAACCCCAGTTAACTGTTCGACTAAATGCTGCAGTGACTGGCTGATAGAATCAACATAGAACGTCGCACAGAAACGCATCGGTATCAGTTATCACACTTCATAAAGAATAAGTGGATAGGAAAGAGTGACATCAAGATACACAAAGGTGTATGGGAGGAGAGGGAATTTAAAAATGAAGGTTATTCAAAACATTCAAGCCTTAGAAGATGACGTCGCTGACTTTGAGGCATGTCACCAAGAGTCCTCAACCAATGATTCCTATCGTCTCGTGGACCCCAGCTAGGTAGTCTACACCTACCTACACGGCTCAGACCAGTTAGGGATTTCATCGGCTGGTGCATTGCCTTAATCTGGCCAACTTAAGTCATCTTTCAACCCAATCCTACTTCACCTAGCATTTCACGTCAGGCTAAATAGTGGTGACTCCATATGCGCAGCACATGTTCAAGCCATCTCAGTCGACTAAGGTTTACAACATCGTCGAACGACCACGTCTATCTTGCTAGTAACCTTCGCCTAACCTCAACATAGTTCACACGGTGATTCCACCATACGTGAACAATGCTACGAGGTAACCTGTGATCAAAAAATTGTTAGTGTTTCATGTATTTTATTTTTAAAGGTCATGTCTAATAGCTAGATAACAGGACACAACGGACTGCATCGCAGTATACTCATTACTTAATAGGTAGTCGAATATCTCGAGAACCGGTGCGATAGATGATGCAAGTTGGCGAATGCCAAACAGGGCTTCTGTATCCGAGCAGAGATTTCGTCAGCAACCACCCCGTCCGAGCTGGTGCAACTCCCTAGGTCAGTGGTGGTCTACACATTCTACCACTTCACTCCCTATCCTTAAACTAGGAGTATTTGCGGACCAGTGCTGAAGCCTCACTATTCATTTCACAGGTGCGAAATGCAGGCCAGACAAATATGGTCAGACTTCTGCTCAACACGTTGAGACCCTGCATTTTCTCAGCGTCTTCATCAAGCAGGGCAATGTTTTCTGCGTACTCCAAGTCAACCAGATTAGTGATGCAGTGAAACACAGAAGGTTGTCTTAGCTTTCGCCAAATTATGTCATTCATGGCACTGCTTTGATAACCTATTACTTACTAAGGGCTGAATGTACTACTTTTTCTCCTTCGACATATAGCTGTGAACATGGTCACTGAAGGGAAAGGATATGAAAAGACTTCATATGTTCGACTACCGCTGTCTATGTGCTACAAACCGTATGTCATAGTTTCCCCGCACCAGTAACGATCTGTCAGACGTACCTTTGGTCAGAGGAGATAGGAGAAATGATTAGGTGTGGAACCTTTTTCAACTCAGATAACTGAGAAATGTGTTGCGCATGCCTGCCTATGGTGCGACTGCTGACGAGTTTCATACCAGGACTAAGTAGTTTTCCAATGGTTCTCCAATTGACTTCAGTATATGATGAATATCAAAGTGAATTCAATAAATCCCTACAAACCTTTAAATTGAGTCCATGAAGTCTTTAACTCTTGATCTCAGTGATGTAGACTATCAGGTTGGGGTTTGTCTGAAAACTGAAATCGGTGATTGGATACCCTAAGTGATATGGATCAGAATCAATCGAAATGGCGCAGATGTATCCACACATCATTTTCACCTTAATTATCATACAGAATTTTAATTTCTCACTCTTTCTTGTTCGTTTTCTATAACCTTTCTATGAGACTTTTCATAACTTTCTCCCCCGTTTCGTTATCCTTGATCTTGGCATCTCCTACGTAAGTTTTCAAAGTTTCTTTGAAGGATCTAGGAGGAAATGCAGGACACCACAACAAAGACAATGATACACCACTTTACAATAAGCACATTAGTAATCAATATCTACACGGTATGCGAGTAAGTATCCATTGCAAATATGTGTGTATATGAAACTGATTTCCAACCCACCACACAAACCTTTCATAGCTGCGGTGAAAATATAACAGACACAAAAAAGTCAGCAGTGTTACGTAAGAAACATAATAAGCTTTTAAAAAGAAATACGATCTTTCATAGCTAATAGTGCAATTGAGAAGGTAAAGTTAAGTGTTTGAAATGGAAGAAACGATATAGGAGGTATGAAATGATTATACTAGGTAAACAAACGAAATAACCATCAAAAATTACCAGGGCTAGGAAAGACGGTCAACTTCTTCTTTCTAAACAAATAACTGTTTTGCTGTTAATTACTTAATAGCTGTAAATATAAAGAATTCGTCGAGAACTTGTAGATATAGTAATTAATTAAGTTCAGTCAAATGCAGAGCGATAAAGAGGATAGATCGAACCATATAAATAGATTACACTTATATCAGCATACACAAAACACAACATAAACAATGACATGAAGTCTACAATACTTTAATTACCGAATTCACTCTGCAGCAGAAAGAACGTCAACATAATAGAGATGCAAGTGCACAGAAGGTTGGAGCCAACAGGCGAAATTGATAACTACCCGATATATATATATATATATATATATATATATATATATATATATATACATGGATTTGTTCCCATATTTGAAAAATACACTAAATTAGAGACACATATTCACAGTAATACATCTTAAACTACTACTGTCAGTGGAGTCAGAACTTAGGTATACGAATTGGCAATCGCAATAACAAGATTGTGTGAGTCTTTACATAACCTTAAAAATCAATTATATTATGTGACTGTGCGCGCGTTTTCTGTTGACAATAAGCTGGGCTAAACGATCGATCTTCTGAGCAAGTCACTGCATAGTACAACAGATATTTTGTCTTTCTACTGTAGATACACGGTTGATAAGTTTGTCTCATACAATAGTTTCACGTTCAATACTGCTGGACGACAACAAAAAACTTCATCTCTTAGGAGAAAATGTAGACATAATAATCATTACAATTTTTTAATCACACTAATGAATAAAAAGTTGTTTTGATTCCTTTTCTCTCGCTCTCTCGCTTAAGGCATTTACCTTATATATCGATGCAATTACAATGATTCCTATTTCGTGATTTCAGATTGGACATCCTGATATCAGTTGAAGAAACATTAGAAACCTGGAAGTAGCGGACAGCTGTTTTATCCCAGTATTGAACTCTGATTAATTCCTTAAAGTGAAAACATGATCCTTATTTTTACCCTTGATTTCATATTTTGCATTTGGTTCCACAGTTTATCAAGGATGTAGGTATATTACTGCTATGATTGCTATGTAACAAGTGTCAAGAGAAACTGCAGACGTATGACTTTGTTATTCTTACTATGATGCTTTTGTATGCTGTGTATAATTTCTATATGTAATTTGGAAGCCTAAAAAGTGTCATTAAAAAAATAATAAACTAAGAGTTATCGTTGTACAGTAGCACTGCAATGAACAACTCACTCGAGGTGAAGAATTTTTAGATGCTTCTTCATCCACTAGGGAACACGCATCACTGCCGCTATGACTCAAAGAATTACTTCCAACTGCTTGGTCATATTTCGCTTGAAATTCTCGATCAGTAATCATCGTATTGTCAGCACCATCTCCTTGAGCCCTTTTATGGTTGGGATTCATCTAAACAGATGGAATCAAAAATCAATAAAAATGCACCAAAACATAGCAACAAAGATAGATGATTTCGCTCAGCAACAAGCATAATTACTAAAAAAAATCTTCCTTATTAAATACTATTAAAAATCTGAATTTTTGTTTAAAACAGTTGGCAAAATATCACTGGAGTCTAAGAGAATGGTGCCTCATGAAATGTTCTTAAAAATCCACAGAAATTACATGAAATAATATAAAGAAAGAAAGAAATTTAAGATGGTTAACACCATCAACAAAAGTAATACACAGTGTTCAGGGCCAACTGACGAAGCTTAACATACTGCAGACGCAGAAAGCAATGCAGTTAAAACCTTGTGCATTCCATTGGAAAAATGAGAACGTCACAGACAAGGAAGCTAGACACCAATCTAAACATGACAGTAATTCTCCCCAGGATGAAGCTTGGTATGATATTGTGTACTGTGGAAACACAACTGCAGAGATAGTAACCAACCGATACCCAAAGACTAACAAAAACCAGTGGATTACCGCAACCTCAAACGACCCGACTGATGTGTAAAAGCTCATTCCAGCTGGCTCCGAACACGACGAAAAGGGAAAGCAACTCAAACGTAAATTGGCTAGCAGTGGTGGTGAAGGTGAAGGAGATGGATTAGGCGCCAGTACTGGGTAACGCTCGGACACTGTTTGCGTTTGTCACGAAAACCAACAAGAAGACGATCACACACACGAGACAATCGTCGAGATTAGAGGTCACTGGTAACGCCTCAAGAAAGGCAGCTAGAACTTTGTGCGGAGCACTTTGAAGGACAGTCTAACCGGTGTCCGACCACGACTCAATTCCCCGAAATCCACTCCGAACCGCATAGTGAGATAGCTGTTACTCCTCCAACATTCCTTGAAGTTGAGAAGGTTGCTTCAACCACGAAGTGATTCGAAGCATCAGCATTGGCTTTCCTCGAGAGGTTTTTAGGAATGCAAGTGGGAAGTCAGTGAGCAGATCAACCGAGATATCAGCTAGTGATTGTGAATCAGAGGTGGTCCCATCAGACTGGCCTAAATCGTTAGTTATTTCTGTCTGTAAGAAGTGAGCGAAGTCTTGTTGTGACAGCCATAGAAGCGTCAGTCTTACTGACATTGTGTGCAAGATACTAGGGTCTGTAGATATACGACATGTAAGTTGAGGTAGAGAACCACAAGTCGGAGAAATTGAGACAGGTTTCACATGTGGACAAGAGTGCATCGACCGTATTTGTACAGTTTGACAGGTTCTGGAACACAAGCGTACTTACTGGCTCTCGACATATGCCATATATCTTGACGTGAAGGAGACATTCGACTCAGTTGAAGAAGTGGTGTTGTTGTAACAGAGTCTGACTGTGAAGAGAGCACCTGTCTGCCGCCAATCAAAGCTCCATATTTGAACTGATATATCACTAATAGATAATGGTGAGTCGTCGTTTGAGGTGAAGGTGATTAGGTGCCTACCAAGATGCCTACTGCCACCATTCCTGTTCCGCTTTATCATAGATGTGCTGTTGGATATAACCCTAGATTCATCTGACTGTACCACAGTTGGTTCTCTCTTAGCAAACGCTGTGAAAACAAAGCTGTTGGAAACGAATGATGTAAAGAACACATGTATCTATGTAGCATTCCTTGTGTATGGTGGGATCGCAGTATGAGCAGTGTGAGGATCAGACGGAAAGTACGAGCAAGACAGGCAAGTCAGTCGTTGATGTGGTTAATTAAGGTGGTTGTGAACCATCGGTGACCGAGGTGGCTGAGACATGTGTTATACATGCTTGACGTGCAATACTAATGTAAGTAGGATTGGACTGGAAGAAGGTCCAGAGTGTCCAAACCTAGACATGGCATGAGTTGATGAAGTCTAACTGTTGGCCTGAGTCGTATGAGAAGACATAGACCACCTAGTTTGGAGTTCTCAAGACGATAGTAATGAATGATTGGAAACATTTAATGATATGGCTGAAAACCCATCACAATGGCGCAGATGTATTCACACTTTGGCATCAGAAGTATGAACATTTTTACTTATTTACGGTCTCTCCTCCCAGACTTTTGTCTACTTTATTACCAACTTTTTCATTCCTTGCTTCTTTGCATTCTGCAGTGAAGTGTAGCAAACTGAAACGATGCACTACTCTGGTAAGTTTTACGTTGATTCGCATGTCTTCTTATTGTGATGGTAAGTCTTCAGGTTTGTTGACCGCATTGCAAATTAGATAAGTTAGATTCGATCAGTATTAAGTTGACGGACATTGGTTACTTTGTTAGGGTGAATCAATATAAATGGGAATTACTAACAATGACATGGTGACGTTTAGTATTCTTGTTCAATCATGTTTAATGTGCTAATTTGTTTATGTTTTAACGTCTATAGTCGTTTTGCATTGCCTTTGCTTAGATTATATGACGTGTGGTAACAGTTGTAGCTATGCACGTAAGTCTCTTTCAACTTCGTGTTGCAAGAAACAACAAAGACTGACACTCAGGACAGAATGTTTATTACTGACATATTCTACAATACTGAGGAAATATTATACACTCTCCATTAAAATAGTCATTTGCACAATGTGTTTCATTTCCTCTCCTGCTTCTATCTCGACTTGCTCTTATCTTAATACGCTCACATTGTCTCTTGTGTTGGTAATTGCTTATGATTTCTGCAGCCCTCCAGACATACACTACTTATATCATTCTTATCGGTAGCACCCACTACACTCGTCCCCCCGTCAAAATTTCGGGCTAACAGCCGTGTATATCGTCTTGGTATCCATTCAGAGCTTTTTCTTCTTCCCACCATCCATATTTTTGTATTAGGCTGGTGTTTACTCTATTCTCTTTGTCCCCTTTTTTGATGGCATAAACTGAACCGCATCTCTCTGTAACCATGCATGGTCCTTCCCACTTCGGTAGCAGTTTTCTTCTACCATATTCACCTCCTGACGTATATCCTCGTCCTCTACATTTCACCTGATCTCCGACTTCAAACGGTTTCCATCTACTTCCTTCTCTCTGCTTGGATCCTTCAGCATCAGCTTTCTGTTTCTGTTCTACATTTCTGATTGCCTGTTTCCACTCCTTTCTCAATATTGTCTTGTTCCACAGGTGTTTTTGGGGCCAGGTCTTACTATGTATTGGGAGCCATGCTTTCCCGCCATACATTATCTGGAACGACGATTTATTGATTGTTCCTTGTACAGAGACACGATGCGCTAATAATACTAACGACAGTCCCGTCTCCCGATTCCCTTCTTTCAAAGCCAGCCACTCCTTAAGTGTACGGTTATTCCGTTCTGTTAAAAACTATTGGTCTGCAGGTGGTACGGTATCATTCTTATCCTCTTGATATCGAGCTGCTTCAAACAGGATTTGAATTCTCCAGTTGCAAAACAAGGACGTTTTTCGGTCAATATGATTTTCGGCACACGATGATGCGCAACAATATTCTTCATCACTGCTGTAGCCACCGTCTTCGCGCGTTGATCGGAAATCACAGCAGCATCTACCTATCGTGTAGCATGCTACGTCATCACCAACAGGTATTGGTTGCCAATAGATGTTTGCGGAAATGGTCTGATTACGTCCACAGACCACAGGTCACCAACTGCTGCTACTGGAATCGACTGAAGTGGCAGTCGTACATACCGATCACTTTTCATCAACTGACAATGTGAACAGGCGAGTACGTAATTGGAAGCATCTTCTCTCATACCCAGCCAGTATGCACTTTGTCTGAGAAGGTCGGCTGTCCGTGATACACCTGTATGAACTAACTGGTGGCATACTTGTATCATTTTGTCACGTAGACATTTCGGAATCACTACCAATCAGCTCCCATCGTTTTCTCGCCAAGTCAGCAGTCTATAAGTATTCATGCGTATGCGTTCTTTTTGCGTCAACGTTCTAAACTCCTTATTTTCCAAAAACTTGTTTCTCTCTATTTCTCCCGTTATGGCCTTTTATCACTTCTTCAACCATACGGTCCGACTTTTGAAGGCGAATAAGTCTTAATGGGTTCCATTCAACTGCATGTACACCACATGCGATCTCAGGTAGTTGATTTTCTTTGTCTGATCTTGATGAGAAGTCTGCCAACCAGTTTTCTTTCTCCGCAACGTGGCCGATTGTAAAATCGTACTCTTGCAGTCGTAACATCCAATGTGGTAATTTTCCTCTGGAGTCTCTCGCTGTCTTTAGCCACTGTAGAGGCTTATGATCAGTTTCAATATGAAATCGTTGGCCGAGGAGGTACTATCTACATTTCTGAAGCGCCCAAACAATCTTCAAACATTTCTTTTCAACTGTGGAATATTTCTGTTTTGCAGGTGTCAGGACACGGCTGACATACTCCACAATCACTTGCATCGGTGGACACAATAAATGGCCTCTCAGGTATTGGTGGTTTTAAAGTCATCTCCTGGTCATTTAGGAGTTCCTTGATGTGACCAAACGTTTTCTATGCCTCCTCCGTCCACATAAATTTGGGTTTGCCACGTAGCTTATATAAAGGTGCTGCTATCTCATTGAACTTTTTAAGGAGCCGACTGTAGAATGCTGCTCTGCTCAAGAACTGTTGCAGTCTTCTCTTTGAATTTGGTACTGGGATGGCTTTAACCGTCAGAATCTTCTCAGGTAATGGTTTTATTTCACCGTTTCCAACTTTGTGTCCTAGCAATGTAACGCTCTTCTTGGCTATCTGAGATTTTGTCTTATTGATGCGAAGTCCAAACTCGTCAATGCGTCTCAAAACAGCTTCCAGGTGTTCTAGATGTTCTGCTTCCGTTTGACTGTACAACCAGGTCGGAACCATACACCTTCACGTTCTTTAACTTCGTCAGCAACATTATCAACCGTATAAATGTAAATGGTGCGCCTGCAAGACCAAGCGGCATTCGCCTGGATTGGTATTGCTTCTTGCCCACAATAAATGCTGTTTTCTCTCTAACGCTTTCTTTATTGGTAGCTGTCAGTAGCCTGGGCAGTCTGGAAATGTAAAGACGTTTGCCTTCTGCAGACGATCCAGTGTTTCAGCTACCGTTGGCATGGGACAGAACTTCAGTTCCGTTATGGTATTAGACTCTTGGAAATCAATAAAGAATCTATATTTCTCAGTTGACTTTCTTACTAAAAGCAATGGCGAACTGTATGGGCTATCACTCTCTTCAATAATCCCTTCATTTGGCATTTCTTAAACCGGGCCCCCGACTTCTAAGTGACATGATATTCGCCATGTTATAAATGTCATTCCTTGATTTCTCACTGCGATTTCATGCTGAATCTTGCCACAGTATCCATAGGGGTCTACATCTCCCGTGAACTGTTTGTCTTATTTCTTAACCAACTTCATGATGTTTGGCGCTTCTGGGTGTGGTGCTTTTGATACCTCATCTTAATCCCGGCTACCCCGCTGTTTTCCTTCATGGTGAACGACCCGTACTTCGTCGCCACTATTCCTGTTCTCGTGTTAACAACCACACCCACTTCTCTCAAAAAACCACCACCTAGGATTGTCCATTGTAGACGCGTGGTGACGATGAATGGAAATCTAATTTTCTAACTTCCGATCTTGACGACACAATCTGATAAGCCTGCGATTTCTAATGCATGTTCCGCAACCATATGGTCAGAGACTGACTCATCTATCAGCGAGACTGTCGACTCAGTATCGATTAGACACACAATCTCCCGGTCATTTATTCGCAATCTAGCATACACAGCAACTCTATCTATGGCTCCTACAACAACTAGTTTAGTCGGAAAAACAGAACCCATATTATATCGTTCAAAACCTTTTCTTTTTCGCCTCTCCGAGCAGTTTCATCGCTAGTGTCCCAGTTTTCCGCATGCAAAGCACTTACTCTGTCTGGTGATATTCATTCGAAGTGCAGCCACCTCCTCCCGAAGGTTATCGACTTTCTTTTTCCAGTTATTTATCTCATGACTCTACCACAGCTAATGCTGTACCCATCAGCTATCTGGCCACCTTCGCCTGCTCACGAGTATCCATGGGTTGGGCTGCGTTCACTAGTCTAAGCTGCTGGGCAATGGCATTCGGAACACTTTCAGTGAACTGTGGAGCCAGCAACTGTGCCCGGGAGTCCTCATTCAAAGTGAGAAGTGCTCGTCGAAGTAGTTTCGTCAACTTCACAGCCAATATCAGCGGATCCTTGTCTATACCAAGCTTCGTGCTCCGGAACTGCTGCACCCCCAGCTCCCTATTCGCTAGGCTGTCAGATTTCGTCTCCAGTGGTACAACCATTCTCTTCCAGATCTCCTTTCCATCCACGCGTTTCATGTCATCATATACCGCCTTGGCTCCAGATCCCGGACACCCACCAGCTCCGCAACCGACTCAGAGTCTCTGAGGAAAACCATGATATCACCATCCTCGAACACTACAGGCCACGGAATCTTCATCACGTTCAGAAGCAGCGACACCAATTGTGAGAAACGACAAAGACTGACACGCAGGACAGAATGTTTATTACTGACATATTCTACAATACTGAGGAAATATTATACACTCCCCATTAAAATAGTCATTTGCACAATATGTTTCATTTCCTCTCCTGCTTCTATCTCGACTTGCTCTTATCTTAATACGCTCATACTGTCTCTTGCATTTCTCTGGGAGGATTATTTACCATCGCTGGTAATTGCCTATGATTTCTGCTACCCTCTCAAAATACACTACTTGTATGCATCCTTATCGGTTGCACCTACTACACTGTGGCCAGAAATGAGTTAGGTTAAAGTAAGCTGTTTCAAAGAAGGAAAATTGTATGTGGAAGATGGAACACCATTTATTGTCTAGGCATATGATTCACTAATAGCGCAGAGCTTCTTTTGCGGATATCAACTCTAAAACAAATTGTTCAACCAATATTTAATATTGCCTATATATATATGTAATATAAAATAACTGAAACACTCACATTTAAAGGAGTAAACTGATCGGGTATGGAGAAATTCCTTCGATGGCTGTACACGTTTATGCCCTTTTCAGCATTTTGAGTAGATAAGTCAGTTGGATGATTGATTCGCGTTAATTTTGCTTCCCACAATTCTCTTTCTTGGCTAAAAACAAAAGGACATTGAATCAATTTACTACGTAAATAATAGGAGATTCGACCAGTGGCAAAGATGATACATATTTTGGATTGAATAAAAACACAATTAACCCGATGTAACTCATCCACATGGCACCGGTTGATGTACTGGGCTATGAACCACATTTAAAGTGACAGGCCTTAAAATATATTATCTAGTTGTTCAGACTGAATTAGGTGAAACGGGGTTTGAACATAGTAATCAGTCGGTTAAATAAGTCAATCAGCCAAAGCTCTATTTGGATAGATTATCGACGACTGAAGTTGCTAATCATGTGGATCAACTCATTTACATAGGTAGCAGCAGTAGTTCTGACGAGATAACCAACTAATGTCAACCTGAATGGCGAACATTTCCTTGGTAGGCTCCAATTCACGCTTCTTATGATACCAACATGCAAGTGATATCCTTATAAGGATCAACAATACAGCTCGTTACTGAGCTTTATTTTACTACAAAACTACGAGACAGTTGCAGAGGCAAACAACTTGAAAACTTCCACGTATTTCCATCCCTAATGCCAATGGAGCACTACTATATTCGGTAATAAATATATAAAAATTTCAGTGTGCTTGAAATAAAACACTTTAAACCTTTCGCACACACGTCCACTCCGAGCTTCATCAGGGAAATAATGAAAGATATATAAATCAATTCATAAACGTGTAGTTAAATCTCCTTGTCTGGTTCTATTTTTACATTCACTACTTTCTAAAATAGGATTAGTAATTATTCAGTGTGAAATTGTATGCCTCTTGTTGTGTGGTATCTATATGCTTCGTTATTCATTTTCTCTTTGATTATTAGTAAGAGACCAGAAAATGTAACAGGTGACATTGTAGTCATCCGGTAATTTCTATGTATAAGTATAATATGGTACATGAAGTGGATACATTTGTCATTTCTGTTAGTAAATAAGAATGAATTAGTATTAACAGTTTTCCTCATTGAATTGTCAGAATAAAGCGGAGATGAATAATAATAATAATAATAATAATAATAATAATAATAATGCTTTAAATAAACACAGAATGTGTCTTGCTATTGATGCAGAGATAATGGGAATTAGACTGGTGGTGAAAATAAATGCAGGAGTCGCTCTTGCTATTTGCCGCTAGGTAAGTATCAAGAGGCAGCTAACTGCACTCCATCTCGTCATTTAAAACTATCCAGGATTCGCCTTTATATGTAGGGCCTCGAACTTCAATCTTTCTTAGTATTACTCAAGGCATTTTCGTAGAATTTTGGTCCCGACAGAGAACTAAGATATCGGTTGATGAGATCATATTAGGCGTACAGTTGTGTCTGACCTCCACAGTCTTCTAGTTTCAGGTCGACATTTACGACAAACAGAAGGAGTAGCAATGGAATCGCCAATATCCCCAATCGTAGCAGATATATTTATGGATAGTTGGGAAAACATGGCTTTACAAACGTTTAGTCCTGCACCTAAGACATGGTGGCGATATATGGATGACACATTTACTGTGTTGAAATCAGAACACATCGACAACTTCCTCACGCATACAAACTCAGTAGTAGGCGTAATCCAATTCACTTATGAGGTAGGAAAATTACCTATGTTGGATTGCAAGATAAAACGAAGGAAAGACGGTGGTTTAGATACTACCATCTACAGAAAACCGACACATTCCAACAGGTATCTAGACTTCAAATCATCCCATCCAATGTTAGTTAAGGCAAGTTTAATTAAATGTCTAAGTGATAGAGCTAGAAAACTGACTAGTCAGTGCAAGGACCTAAACAAGGAATTAAAACACGTAAAAGAAGCACTAATAGTTAATAATTATCCTCCGCAGTTTATCAAGAGATTCGTACGAACACATAAAAAACGAAATAATAACAGTCACACAAGTGCGACTAACAACGACAACACGAGTAAAAAGTTCACAGCCTCCATTGCGTTACCCTGTAAGGAGGGTACATCAGAAACTTTACGTAGGACCCTCAATGGAGCTGGAATTAGGGTGGCATTTAAACCTATAAACTCACTCAGAGATAAACTTTGTCGGCTGGCTTAAGGATCCGATAGAATCAATTCAGCAAAATAATATAATCTATCAAATTCCATGTAATGACTGTGAGGTCAAGGACATAGGTCAAACTAGCCGGTCGGGGTCAGTTAGAATAACCGAACATAGGAATTTAGCTAAATATAGAATGATAGACCTAAATAAGATCAATAATTTAGGAAAAAAACTCGGCTATTGCAATGCACGTATTAACACACAATAGGATGGGACAAAGCCACTGTACTTAAGTCCAATATAATTAAGTGGAGGGAGAGATTGGTTACTGAATCTTTGTTCATCGAATCAACACCCAACACATGTAATAGAAATGATGCAACACCTATACCAGAGATCTAGAAGATTTTACTACCAATAAAAACAACTCATATGAGATGACATAACTATAAAAATCAAATGTCGAAAGTGGTGATTGGATTGGTAAAGTTATGAGCAATAATTTATGCTCGAAACGTCATCAAGTAAATAATACTATATCACTATCTGTTATAAATCAAATAAACAAATCTAATGTGGGATTGAATTCTACCACAGTGCCCAAGTTGTACACCTATATTAACCCTAGGGTAAGGCATGAGAGCAATCTCTTGTCTCAGTGAGCACGCTATCGTTTATTGGGATCCACATATATCCGTCTGATGAGCCCAAAATAGGACAAAACATGCGTCCTGATTCCCACTGTTGGCCACTACTAAGTAAATAACATCAAAATGAAATTTGAGACGGTATTCAGGCATCCGTCCAGGTATTCCATATGTCAAGATTGACCGATTAATTTGCACCGGTATAACAATCAACGGGAAACTACAAGTACGTCTTCACTTTGTTATGACTTTATGAACACCCTTCATCATCAACAGAACTAACCGAACCTAAAAGGACAAAATAAGAAGAGATGAGAATATAATAACTTACAATATTGATGTGAAGCTTCTCAAAAACGATAAGTTAAATAGACAAAGTATTCAAAGTCATGAAATCTAAAACGTGAGTTATTTAGACAGTAAGACAGCTTAGGATACTGACTGATGTTGCATCTATATGCACACCAAATAACAGACTAAGCCCATACGTTTACCCATCAATCCCCTTACTGCATATAAGAGTAGATTGATATTTTGTATGCATTCAATCGGTGACAAGCATAGTAAGTTAGAATAGTGCATTTTTTCCACTTTATAAAATAATGTACATTCTTACCGTAATTCATCTTCGTATTTTTCTGCCTGAAGCACAAGGCGTTCTTCACAGTCACGTAGCTGATTTGTGTACTTCTGTTCCAATTTGTTAATTTCAGCATGAAGACGGTTTTCATGCTGTTGTGTCAGCGACAATATTTGTTCATCCCATGCTTGTTTCTGTCTTTGGGACTGACATAACAATTCACTATGTCTATAGGAAAAAAATGTGAAGAATCCCATTAATGAAAGAATACTACCACAAATCTTCATAATCAAAAAGTAAGCACACTATATAGTAATAAGAATGCTGCAAAGACACTTGGAGTACATCATCATCATCAATATCAACATAGGACCAGGCATTACTGCATAACGGTCCGAGTTGCCACACCTCATATCAGCACATCAAGTAAAAGGTAGTGAGGTGAAGGATGAAGATAAGTGAATTCAGTCAAAAGAAATATAAAGTACGAGAAGAAAAAAAGAGTGACAAAATGGTGAGATTCGGTATAGCGTCGTTAAAATGAGGATAATGTGTGTATACATCTGCACCACTGACATCGGTTCTGAGCCATATCCCTTTAGGACTCGAACCAATGGTTCCTTTTCTCTCGCCGACCCCAACCACCGAGTCTGCATCGCCCCACATGGCTCAAACCATCAGTCAAAGGCTTCATACATTGGTGCTATGTTTTGGTGTGACCACCTCGGGCCTTTTTCCAGACTGGACCTACTTCGGCCAACATTGTGTGACGAGGCAATCAGCGACTAGGCATACGTAACACGTGTCCCAACCATCTCATTCGATGAAGGTTCATAACCTCGTCTACTGATTTACCTCTTCTCTCCAAAACTCTACACCTGAGCCTGACTTCTGCGTTACTCGTGTGGTGACACCACGGAATACAGCCTATACTATACTACGAAAGCAACGGAAGTCAAACACCTGAAGCCTTCTCATATGTTCCACTTCCAATGGCCATGTTCCACAGCCATAGAGTAGAATAGACCGGACTGCTGTGCAGTACACTCGACCCTTAATAGACAGTCGGACATCACGGCGGTGCCGTAGGTAGCGTAAATCGGCAAAAGCCAATCGAGCTTTTTGTCTCCGTGCAGAGGTTTTATCGGCCACTGAGCCACCAGGGTTGATCCTACTTCCCAGGTAAGTGAAGTAGTCAACACACTCAATCACTACACTATCTATTGTTAGCCATGGCACCGTTGAAGACCAATCCTGGAGCAACAATTTGCACTTGGGTGGTGAGAACCGCATCCCAAACATTCTCAAATTGACAATCAAAGTGTTCAGAAGATTCTGCATCTTATCAGTGCCTTCACCTAACAGCACTATGTCATCTGCATATTCTACATCTAACGAAAATTCTCCTGCGATTAGGTCAACCTCTGTGTAGTCAGGTGACGAGAGGGAGACCTCTATAAGAAAGAATATCGATGATAAAATTGAATAAGAATGGAGAGAGTGGGCAGCCTTGACGGACACCACTCGACGAGTATAGCTTCCCGGACATCTCAACATAGGTTCTAACATGCCCACAAGTGTTAGAGAAGAGAGCTTTCAATAAGGTGATGTATTTACTCGGCACCCCTTTCAGTGAGACACATCGCCATAAGACCTCTTGATCAACGGAGTCGAATGCCACCGCCTTCAGGTCGAGAAATACAGCTATTATCGGGCATCGGTAAGCGTGTCTGTGTTCCGAAACCTGGTTCAGTGTGAATATTTGGTCAATACACCCGCGCCCAGGTCTAAATCCTGCCTGGTTTTCTTGAGCTTGCTGTTCCTGAGCTTCACTCAGGTGTCTGATGATTGTAGTACCTAGAATCTTGGACGCCATATTCGTTAGGCTGATTCCTCTGTAGTTATCACAAGACGACTTCTCGCCTTTCTTGGAGATTGGGATAATCAGTGATTTCGACCAGTCAGAGGGGATCGTGTTTGATTTCCATATACTAGTTAATACTTCCGTTAACCTGACTAAGAGCACTCTACCGCCATCCATGTATACCTCAGTTCGTCTGGTGCTGCTGCTGTTCCTCGTTTCAGGTTACCTATCGCTTTCTCAACTTCTGCTAGTTTTGGGGGGCCTATCTCAATGTTCCATTCAGCGTCCGACTGGATAGTGGGCAACGCAATGGTGGTTGGAGGCTAGTTAAACTGTTTCTCGAAGTGTTCTGCCCATCGTTCCAGTAGTCTCCTTTGCGAGCGAACCGCAGATCCGTCCTTCTCCGCTATGGTCTCAGTAACTGTTGTTGACCTTTTCCCCCAGTTTCTTTAATAAGTCTAAGTAACTGTCTATTGTTACCAATCGCCGCTGCCTTTTGCATCTCTTTAGCCTTCGCTGCTCACCACTGTTCGCGATCGTTGCGTAGACTTTTTTTCAGTCTACTTTTAAGTTGCGCTCGCTCTTCATTGTACTCAGAGCCTGCATGCAGGGATGCGTTCACGTGCATTTATTCGCTCGGAAGAAGCTGCTGATATCCACTTGGAATACAGACGAATTTTATAGTGGTATTAGCAACAGATGAAGTGTAGTTTTGATTGGGCAGCTTCTATAGATGCCTTGAACGTATGGTTCATTACATTTAGAACTTGAAAACTCAGTCATCAAGTGGTAGTAGGTACGGATTATGTGTAAAAGCGTGATGCTCCCCTGGCTACTCGAATTTACAGAGATGAAGTTGAGTTTGAACTAGTATTTTGACAATCAGAGTGGATGCTCAGACCAAACATCAGAAATTTCATACTTCAATATTGGATGAACATGCATTCCAATCCCTATAATAACATAAAGCCGACGAAACAAACCAAACATATTCTGCAGAAAAGTGGTCGACTTCACTCACTAAATAAATAGAGAGCATAATGAAACCTAAAAAAATCAATCACTCTTTGATAACAGTAACAAACTATAAAATAAAAGACAATGTACGAAACGAACCAGTTTTACTGCAACAATATTCATACTAGGGGCATACTACAGCGAATATTTTTCAAGGACACGTGAACTCTTCCAATCACGAAGTGAAACGGTCCACCCTCACCCTCAAACTGATCTCAAACTACTGCTCTGGTGTGGCAACTGAGTTTGACTATCACGGTCAAAAAGCCAAACTATTATGAATAATAGAATTGTTTCTTGAAGTCTTATTTTACTGACATTGTAGATGTAACGATGAGTTTCAAGGCAGCTTCTGTCTTATGAATATGAGAGTAAAGTCTTCTGGATAAAGAGCTGATGACAGTAGAATGTTTCCTCAGAAAGACCAGCATTCCCAACTGTTCGACCTATGCATTTCGGGAAGTAGGAGTTGAAGAAAGTCGATAATTAAAACTGCATTGGGCTCTGGTTCATTGGGTTATCGACTGCTCCCTTCCCCAATGGCATTCTAATCTTTCTTGGTCATCAATTCTCACTATCATTTTCTCTGGTTTCGTTATTGCTCCCCTTTGTCACCACTTTGTCTTCTAAAGTTTATCCGATTTTTATTTTGAAATAACTGTTAAGGATTTGAACCAGCACAGCACTATTTTTATTTTCCTAACACCATGCTACCAATCGCTCAGAATTCAAACGTTTTCTCAAAACGAATGTCAGATCTTACTAGCTAAAACTTTCTGCTCACAGATCATGGATTCATGCAATGCTTCTAGGATATGAATGTAATTCAAGTGTATTTATTCAGTGCATCGTTGACCACTTCACTTGTCATGGAAGACCCCTTAGTCCTAATGCTTACTGAAAAAATATCAACATGCATGCAAAAGTTCCTCTTAGCATTTACCAAGTTGTACCGCTTCTGGCACCAGAGAGTTAACCAAGAAGGCGAGTGCACTGCTTGGCATCCACTTTCTTTCTGTTGCATGACAAAACAGTTATTGTCATATTGTGCATCCTAATAATACAACTGACTCTATTTCGCATTGAAGCGGCAACGGGTTTCCTGCAGACGACTAGCATTACGACGCTGATGCTGCCTTCCATATGCCAACGGAGGGAAGTTAGAAAACCTTAGCCACGAGTAGCATACACATCCTTCACTTCCCGCGATCTTCCGCTACCGGTGGTATTCAACTGTCTTCATCCAACAATCCCAACAAAGCTGTATATGACAAGCTTTTCCCGAATACCTGCCTAAACTCGGATCACGCGTGAGTACAGGCACGTGTATGTTTCCACCCTACTAGCTGAAGGAAACAGACAGCGGTGGAGTCTCTGTATACTTGTCTAAAGGATGAGAATGTCACGTGTAAATTCGGAGAGGAGGTAGTTCTACATCACGTCGCAAATGACAGCCATTCTCTTCCTGATAAAGTTTGGCACAACCTGAGTCGATGAGATGGCTTGGATATGTACTGCATATGTCCAGCCACCACCTACCTCGATGTGCCATGACAGGGGACGCTGGATTAGGGTGGAAGACAGTTCAAGGTGTCTAGACCAAGACGTGGCACCACTCAATAAAGTCTCTGATTGTTGATCTGAGTCGTATGAGGAGATGTAGACTGCCTGGTCGGGGTAAGCAAGATGATAGGAATCAGTGGTTGAGGACTCTTGGTGAAATGCCTGAAAATCGGTCACAATGATGCAAACGTATTCACTCTTAGACGCCTTATAAAGTCTGAATATTTGCATTAACTATCATCTTCAGATTGATATCCCTCATTTTATATACACTTATTCTTTGTATACTATAGTGGAGTGTAGCAAATTGAACTGATGGGTTTGTGTGCGAGGTTACACGCTGATTCTGTTTGTCAGTCCATCCCAAAAACAAGTGAAAGATAGGACTAGCCAACACCTGATAGATAAACATCTTGAATTCATTGATGTAGGAGTACAACTTGGGCACTGCCGTAGATTATAATAATTCCGTTTTACTCTACTTTTTAGAAATCTCACACAGTGGAAGTGTTATTTAATGGATAACGTTTCCGACACAATTTACTGTCCATATTCATGTCAGGTATTACCTGATATGAATACAGACAATAAATTATGTCTGAAACCTTATCCAGAAAACAACACTGTTTTACTATGCAAATTTCTAATAAACAGACAAAAATGGAATTGCATCTTGCATTCAAATAAATTCTGAAACTTTCTGGGCGAACAAACAATTGCCTCCGATTAGCTCTGACCTCGAGCGTAAGTAAAAACAGTGGATCGCGTTGGGTGAGTCAATATCAAACCAATGGGGCACACATAAATAATACTACCTAACACCATCCATCAAGAAGATCGATAAAAGATTGCAGTTCTTTAACAAGTACATCCTGAGACTACGATCACGCGTCAGTACAGGCACGTGTATGTTTTCACCCTACTAGCTGAAGGAAACAGACAGCGGTGGAGTCTCTGTATACTTGTCTAAAGGATGAGAATGTCACGTGTAAATTCGGAGAGGAGGTAGTTCTACATCACGTCGCAAATGACAGCCATTCTCTTCCTGATAAAGCTTGGCACAATATTCTGGGTGTTGTAGGAGCGGTGGTAAAGTCAGTTGATATTCGAAATATACCAGTAAGCGAAAGCCAGTGAGTTTCCGCAAGGTCATGCGAACTGATTCCAACTGTCTATGACTACGATGAGGAGTGATGGCCAATTTCGATTGTCGACCGAGACGTGGTGTGACAGTGTCTTACTGATAAAGAAGTGTCGAGATGGTAAATTGCACTAGCTAAAGCTCTCTGTTTGAACTCACGCAGTCGTGTAAGGGCTTGTTGGAAGTTATCACCTGAAGTGACAACAACCCGTTGTATCCTCCAGGGATGTTCACTGTCACGACTTACATTTGAAGTTGTTATAGATGTACTGATCAACGCAACTATAGGTACCTCCGACTTAACGGGGGTTGACTCATTCCCTGTAGAACACCTGCTTGACGTTGAGTACGTACGTAGACAGCGTAGTCATGTTGCATGAAGACGCTGGCAAAGTGCAGTCCTCGGGACACCATCAGTGTCGAATTGAGGATGTTTGGGATGTGCTTCTCACCAACTAAATGCAAAGTTTTGCTCCACCTCTGATATGCGTCAGCGCTTCCCCTAACAATAGGGAATGAAATGGATGAGTGTGTTGACCACTTCATTGACTCGTGAAATTGCATCAATCCTGATGGGTCAGTGACCGACGAAATCTTCCATGAACACGGAAGGCTTGCTTAGCTCTTGCCAAATTACACCGTTTATGTCACCACCGTGAAATCTGATTGCCTAGTGAGGGTAGAGTGTACTACGTTGCAGTTCGCTCTATTCTACTGTATGGCAGAGAAAAATAGCCACTAAAAGTAGACGGCATGAGGAGATTTCAGGTGTTCGACCACCGTCACATTCGTAGCATAGGCCATATGTCATGGTGCCACCACGTCAGGAACGTAGGCGTCAGACCCAGAGTTCCAGATAGAATAGATAAGTCAGTTGATGAGGTTTTGAACCTTCGTCGACTCAGATGACTGGGATATGTATTATGCACATCTAGTTATCGTCTACTTCGTCGCATATTGTCGGGTGAGTTGTAAGTGTTCGGTTTTTGTTTTATTTCTTCTTCTGCTTTCAGTACACTTCTTATGACGTTTGATTTAGTTCCGTCGTTACTATTCTATCTTTTATCTTAGTTGCTTGTATTTTAATGAAGGGGTACAACAAATAGGATCTTCATGTAGTATTGCCAGGTCTCATATCGCTACTGACTGATGCATTAAATAGAAGGTGTACTTGGAATATATTAGATTTGTGGATGATCTGTTCATCGCTCAATAAGATGGTATAATGGATTCGCTGTAGATCATTACATGACTACGTTGTGTAACATTAATTACCTAATCTTGGTTATGAGAAGTTACTTATCGACAGACATCGCATTTAAAAACCGATAAACTTCCCTGATTATTTAAAGATCCCCAAAGATTATTTACTCTTATCGTTAAACAATACATCGATACTTCTAAATATCATAGTTTTTCTTCGATACAAGACACGAACGGAATGAAATGTAATTTGAACTATTGTTTGTTCATTTATAACGAAAAATGTTAAGTGAATTTACTTTGATTAGTCAGTAAGATGCTTGTATAAAAGGAATCAGATTGGTTACCACTAATTGTATAATACAGCATAGAAATTTTGATAGCAAAAGCAAAAAAGAAAGAATTGCATTCAGAAAATCACATATGTATCTTTAAAGTTTTTAAAGAAAATATTTACCTTGCTTTAAAGTCGGCCAGTTCCTTCTTCAACAAGTCACATTCTGATTGCGCTAAAGATGTACATAATTCAGCTTCTTCCATACGGCGTTGTACATCAAAGAGGTTTTGTTTTACGAGCTCTAATTCATTTGAAAAATATGTTTTACTTTCAACGGGATGATTGATGGTGATTGCCTCATCACCTTGACCACTTTTACCAACATTAGAATCCATACTTGTCGAATCCACTTCATTTTTCAGAGCACGGGCGTTGCAAAGAGCATGCTGAGCCTTAATTTCGGTAACAAAGATGTAAAGAGAAGTATCAGTCACTGGGATCAGGATAGAACTTGGGCACTATGATAGAGTGTAATTTTATGACTGGATATTTACTATATGAGATAGCACACAATGATACAGTATTACTTACTTACTCGATGATGCTACAAGGACAGATTATTCCTGATAATTTTTTTTAAGTGATCATAAAAAATCCTAGTTCTATTGATATACTTCTGTTACTTTCTATTCTTGGATTTTAGTGATAGTAGAAATTTCCGCATATTAGGTGTTGGTGTTGAATTAAATCCCTTGCACAGGTTAGATGTTGGTTTGATAAACATAGATTCGAGAATCAAACACTCACTTGACGAGATTGCATAAGTTCTTTGAATTGTTAAGTTGTTCCATAATGTTGCGTCACATAAACAAGCATGACAAACGGTTTTTCTACATTAATTGCCATGGTAGTGACTATCATTCTTAAATAACAGAAATTTCTGCACTCTAGTAGAATGAGTGAGAACAATCAGTTAATTTGACTCATGTTCCCGGCATAACAGTCAATATATAATATTGTCTAATTTTATCTAATCGAGTTAAAAGAACCCGTAAGCTAACAAAGATAGTTTGTCAATATCTATATAAGGTTCAACATCACTGGGTAAAGGTTAAGGTCACAAGACCCCATATCAACACATCAAGAGAGAAAGAAAAGAGATAAAAAAGTAAAGATGTAAGAAGGAATGCAGCTAAAAGTGATAGATAGTAGTGCAATGAGAACATGGAAAAGTGAGACAATAGTCAAATTTGGTATGAAGATCAGTCAAAACATTATAAATGAATGCATTCACACTACTGCGATGAATTCTGAACAATACCACTGACAGTCTACAACCCTCAGTTAAGGCTGTCGGGCAAACTCAAACCAACAAGTCTACAGTTCTACAAATAGCTCGCACCAAAAGTCGAAAACTTCATACAAAGCTGATATGCTCCAGTCTGATTACCGCGTTTTCTAACCTTCCATCCAACAACATGCGACGAAGTAGACGATAACTAGATGTGCATAATACATATCCCAGTCATCTGAGTCGACGAAGGTTCAAAACCTCATCAACTGACTTATCTATTCTATCTGGAACTCTGGGTCTGACGCCTACGTTCCTGACGTGGTGGCACCATGACATATGGCCTATGCTACGAATGTGACGGTGGTCGAACACCTGAAATCTCCTCATGCCGTCTACTTTTAGTGGCTATTTTTCTCTGCCATACAGTAGAATAGAGCGAACTGCAACGTAGTACACTCTACCCTCACTAGGCAATCAGATTTCACGGTGGTGACATAAACGGTGTAATTTGGCAAGAGCTAAGCAAGCCTTCCGTGTTCATGGAAGATTTCGTCGGTCACTGACCCATCAGGATTGATGCAATTTCACGAGTCAATGAAGTGGTCAACACACTCATCCATTTCATTCCCTATTGTTAGGGGAAGCGCTGACGCATATCAGAGGTGGAGCAAAACTTTGCATTTAGTTGGTGAGAAGCACATCCCAAACATCCTCAATTCGACACTGATGGTGTCCCGAGGACTGCACTTTGCCAGCGTCTTCATGCAACATGACTACGCTGTCTACGTACGTACTCAACGTCAAGCAGGTGTTCTACAGGGAATGAGTCAACCCCCGTTAAGTCGGAGGTACCTATAGTTGCGTTGATCAGTACATCTATAACAACTTCAAATGTAAGTCGTGACAGTGAACATCCCTGGAGGATACAACGGGTTGTTGTCACTTCAGGTGATAACTTCCAACAAGCCCTTACACGACTGCGTGAGTTCAAACAGAGAGCTTTAGCTAGTGCAATTTACCATCTCGACACTTCTTTATCAGTAAGACACTGTCACACCACGTCTCGGTCGACAATCGAAATTGGCCATCACTCCTCATCGTAGTCATAGACAGTTGGAATCAGTTCGCATGACCTTGCGGAAACTCACTGGCTTTCGCTTACTGGTATATTTCGAATATCAACTGACTTTACCACCGCTCCTACAACACCCAGAATATTGTGCCAAGCTTTATCAGGAAGAGAATGGCTGTCATTTGCGACGTGATGTAGAACTACCTCCTCTCCGAATTTACACGTGACATTCTCATCCTTTAGACAAGTATACAGAGACTCCACCGCTGTCTGTTTCCTTCAGCTAGTAGGGTGAAAACATACACGTGCCTGTACTGACGCGTGATCGTAGTCTCAGGATGTACTTGTTAAAGAACTGCAATCTTTTATCGATCTTCTTGATGGATGGTGTTAGGTAGTATTATTTATGTGTGCCCCATTGGTTTGATATTGACTCACCCAACGCGATCCACTGTTTTTACTTACGCTCGAGGTCAGAGCTAATCGGAGGCAATTGTTTGTTCGCCCAGAAAGTTTCAGAATTTATTTGAATGCAAGATGCAATTCCATTTTTGTCTGTTTATTAGAAATTTGCATAGTAAAACAGTGTTGTTTTCTGGATAAGGTTTCAGACATAATTTATTGTCTGTATTCATATCAGGTAATACCTGACATGAATATGGACAGTAAATTGTGTCGGAAACGTTATCCATTAAATAACACTTCCACTGTGTGAGATTTCTAAAAAGTAGAGTAAAACGGAATTATTATAATCTACGGCAGTGCCCAAGTTGTACTCCTACATCAATGAATTCAAGATGTTTATCTATCAGGTGTTGGCTAGTCCTATCTTTCACTTGTTTTTGGGATGGACTGACAAACAGAATCAGCGTGTAACCTCGCACACAAACCCATCAGTTCAATTTGCTACACTCCACTATAGTATACAAAGAATAAGTGTATATAAAATGAGGGATATCAATCTGAAGATGATAGTTAATGCAAATATTCAGACTTTATAAGGCGTCTAAGAGTGAATACGTTTGCATCATTGTGACCGATTTTCAGGCATTTCACCAAGAGTCCTCAACCACTGATTCCTATCATCTTGCTTACCCCGACCAGGCAGTCTACATCTCCTCATACGACTCAGATCAACAATCAGAGACTTTATTGAGTGGTGCCACGTCTTGGTCTAGACACCTTGAACTGTCTTCCACCCTAATCCAGCGTCCCCTGTCATGGCACATCGAGGTAGGTGATGGCTGGACATATGCAGTACATATCCAAGCCATCTCATCGACTCAGGTTGTGCCAAACTTTATCAGGAAGAGAATGGCTGTCATTTGCGACGTGATGTAGAACTACCTCCTCTCCGAATTTACACGTGACATTCTCATCCTTTAGACAAGTATACAGAGACTCCACCGCTGTCTGTTTCCTTCAGCTAGTAGGGTGGAAACATACACGTGCCTGTACTCACGCGTGATCCGAGTTTAGGCAGGTATTCGGGAAAAGCTTGTCATATACAGCTTTGTTGGGATTGTTGGATGAAGACAGTTGAATACCACCGGTAGCGGAAGATCGCGGGAAGTGAAGGATGTGTATGCTACTCGTGGCTAAGGTTTTCTAACTTCCCTCCGTTGGCATATGGAAGGCAGCATCAGCGTCGTAATGCTAGTCGTCTGCAGGAAACCCGTTGCCGCTTCAATGCGAAATAGAGTCAGTTGTATTATTAGGATGCACAATATGACAATAACTGTTTTGTCATGCAACAGAAAGAAAGTGGATGCCAAGCAGTGCACTCGCCTTCTTGGTTAACTCTCTGGTGCCAGAAGCGGTACAACTTGGTAAATGCTAAGAGGAACTTTTGCATGCATGTTGATATTTTTTCAGTAAGCATTAGGACTAAGGGGTCTTCCATGACAAGTGAAGTGGTCAACGATGCACTGAATAAATACACTTGAATTACATTCATATCCTAGAAGCATTGCATGAATCCATGATCTGTGAGCAGAAAGTTTTAGCTAGTAAGATCTGACATTCGTTTTGAGAAAACGTTTGAATTCTGAGCGATTGGTAGCATGGTGTTAGGAAAATAAAAATAGTGCTGTGCTGGTTCAAATCCTTAACAGTTATTTCAAAATAAAAATCGGATAAACTTTAGAAGACAAAGTGGTGACAAAGGGGAGCAATAACGAAACCAGAGAAAATGATAGTGAGAATTGATGACCAAGAAAGATTAGAATGCCATTGGGGAAGGGAGCAGTCGATAACCCAATGAACCAGAGCCCAATGCAGTTTTAATTATCGACTTTCTTCAACTCCTACTTCCCGAAATGCATAGGTCGAACAGTTGGGAATGCTGGTCTTTCTGAGGAAACATTCTACTGTCATCAGCTCTTTATCCAGAAGACTTTACTCTCATATTCATAAGACAGAAGCTGCCTTGAAACTCATCGTTACATCTACAATGTCAGTAAAATAAGACTTCAAGAAACAATTCTATTATTCATAATAGTTTGGCTTTTTGACCGTGATAGTCAAACTCAATTGCCACATCAAAGAAGTAGTTTACGGCAGGGTGAGGCAAGTACAGTAACTTGAAAACCGAATCGATCGTGTGCAGGAGCTTAACATAATGGATAATGGGCTCTTGCTTCAATACGACCATCAAAATTTATCAGGACCAAAATTATATTTAGCCGGCATCTCAAACTAACTGAAAAGCATGTATATAGTTCCATTGTCAGCTACAAGCAAATACTACCACAACGAATTCTAAAGGCGATAAGTAGTTACCAGGTTAAAGAGAACCAATCAATTGAACCCCGTAAATCAACAACACAAAAGATGGCATGCTAACAAAAAGGATTTCGTAAGCTGAACCGTATTTTTTATCTTATTAAAATCTTCATTAGTGAAATGACTGACAGATTAACCTATACTATTTAAGGAGACGGTAAGAAAGATAAAGTCAATGTAGAATCCCAAGCACAAGTGCTTTGGTTTAAGTTGCAACACTTTACAGCCACATGTAGAGAACATCTGGAGAGGGTAAGAGCGACATCAAAGTGGACAAAGGTGCATAAAAGGAGTGGGAATTGAAAAAGGAAGGTTGCGGAAAATGTTCAAGCTTTAGAAGATGTCAAGGAGTGCATATACCGGGGACATTGTGACCAATTTTCAACCATGTCATCAGCTTTTTGCACGGCCAAGACCGAAAACCAAGACTTCATGGGCTGGTGCCACGTCTCGGTCTGGACACCCTAAGGCATCTTCCAACCTAATCCAACTCCTCTTAGCATTGGAAGTTAAAGTAGGAGGTAGTGATTCAGTATATGCAACACATGTTCAAGCCATCCTTGTCGCTGACAGTTCAAAACATAACCGATCGACCTGTCTGTCTTCCTAGTACCCTTCACCTAACCTCAACATTGCTGATATGATGATTCCACTATACACGAGCAATGCTACGAAGACAACCCCTCCATATCACCTATTTTCAACGTCCATGCTTCACAGCCGTTTAACAGAACACGGCGGACTGCAGTGTAGTATACTGGTCACTTAACGAGAAGTCGGATATCTCACCATCCGAGGCCACAGACAATGCAAGTTGGAAAATGCCAAATGGGCCTTCTGTGTCCGAGCTGAGGTTTCGTCAACAACCAATCCCATTACAGTTGATATAGCTACCCGAGTAAATAAAGTTCTCAACGAATTCTGCCAATTCGCTCCTTATCTTCAAACTAGGAGTAGCTGCAGACCAGTTCCGAAGAATCTCAATTCGCACTGGCGAAACGCATGACAAAAATACACAGATTTCTGCTCAAAGTATTCGGTAGACCCTGCATTTTGCCAGTATCTTCATCTAAAACGATAATGTTGTATGCGTACATCAAGTCAACCAGATACCCTCCAGGGAGTAGGTACATCCTTGTCAAATCAGAGATACCGAAGGTTAAGTCCATTAATAAGGTAACAGCAACGGTGACAACAGGTATTCCTGGAGGACACCAATAGTTGTCGTCAATTCAAATGACAACTCTCAGTAGGCTTTTACACGGTTATGTGAGTTCGGGTGAAGAGCTGTGATTAGCGTGACACACTTTCTGAGTACTTGCTTTGCAGTTAGACATTGTCAACTGAGTCGGATAGCGCCTTCAGATCAAGAAGTATTGCAAGCGTCGGCCACTGGGAAGTATGCCCGTGTTCAAGAACCGGAAGAGCGAAAATGTGATCGATGGACTCCCATCCACATCTGAGACCTGGCTAGTTTGCTTCCACTTGTTGTTCTCAAGATGCAGCCAGGTGTCCGATAACTATTAAACCAAGAATCTCGAATACGATGTTATTCAAACTTACTCCCCTATGGTCGTAGCAACAGAAACACTTCCTTATTCTATTCTAGAATGATCAGTGATGTAAATCAGCCTAACAAAACTACCTATGATTCCCATGCGCTACCTAGTACCTTTATTACATCATCCATCTATTCATGTCAATATAGGACCAGGTATTACTGCGCAGCGGTCCGAGTTGCCACAGCTCATATCAGTACATCAAGTAAAAAGGCGAAAAGCAGTGAAGTGGAAGATGAAGAAAAGAGAATGCAGTCAAAAGAAATACAAAGTACTAAAAGAGAGAAAGGAAGAATGAGAAAATGGTGAGGTTCGGTATAGCTTTAAGATGAGGATAATATGTGTATACATCTGCCCCACTGACAATGGTTCTGAGCCATATCACCTAGAGTCTCAGCCATTAGTTTCTCTTGTTCCGTGAACCCCAACCACCTAGTCTACATCGCCCCACATGGCTCAAACCAACAGTCAAAGACTTCATACATTGGTGCCATCTTTTAGTCTGGCCGCCTCTCGCCTTTTTACAGCTTGAACTTACTTCAGTCAACATTGTGTGACGAGGCAGTCAGCGACTAGGTATACGTAACACGTGTACCAACCATCTCAGTCAATGAAGGTTTACAACTGACTCACCTCTCCTCCCTAAAACTCTACACCTTACTTCTGCGTTACTCGCGTGGTGACACCACAGAATACGGTCTATATTACGAAGGCAACGGTGGTCAAACACCTAAAGCCTTCTCATGTCGTCCACCATGAATCCCCATGTCTCACACCCATGGATTAGAACAGAGTGGACTGCTGTGCAGTCGGATATAGCGGCGGTGTCCCAGATGGCGTAGGTTGGGAAAAAGCAACCGAGCCTTTCGTATCCGTGCAGAGATTTCATCGGCCACTGAGCCACCAGAGCAGGGCTGATCCTATTTCACATGTAAGTGAAGTGGTCGACGCACTCAACCACTACACTCTCTATTGTTAGCCGAGGCACCGTTGAACATCAATCCTGGAGCAACAATTTGCATTTGGGTTGTGAGAAACGCATCCCAAACATTCTCAAATCGCCACTGTATCCAAAAGACCCTGCATCTTGTCAGCGTCTCCACCTATGTCTTTTGCGTATTCTAGGCCTGACGAAAATTCTCCTGCGATTATATCAACTTCTGTGTAGTCAGGTGACGAGAGGGAGACCTCTTTAAGAAAGAATATCTATGATAAAATTCAATAAGAATGGAGAGACTGGGTAGCCTTGACGGACACCACTAGATGAGCACATCTACCGGGACATCTCACCATAGGCTCTAACACACCCACAAGTGTTAGAGAAGAGAACCTTCAATAAGGTGTACCTTTATTACTCTACTCAGTAATTTTCAACTCCATTCTTGGATACTACTAATGAGAAACCTGTTTATGCCTTCTCCATCTGTAGCGCTTTTTCCTACCCACTACTGATCACGAAGACTTAGTCAATTTATGCGTGAGCTGCTTTTGCTTCTTATTATGGTAAGGGTCAGCTGGAATGAGTCTTCTCACATAAATCACCTTGGATCAGGTTGAAGAAATCCTCTGTTTCTAAAGCAGCCAGAATATTATATTGACCTTCATTAGGATGCAGATCGCTGTTGCATTCAGATAAATACTTAGCTATATCTATTATTACGTACTTCACTTTGTCATATTCCAATCGACCACACACAGGTGTAACTACCGCCTGTTTCTTGCCACCAGTAAAGCATAGACATACGCGTTCCTGGACTAACACGTAGTTCGAGTCTAAACAGGCGCTGCAGAAGAAGAGGCAATCTCCTACCGATTCTTTCCAAGGATGGCTGACAGCAACATGACCTATTTTTGTCTACCTATGGTTTGATGTTGGCGGACATCAAGTGAAACACTTTTTCCCTTCATGCTTGAAGTTAGTCCTGGTCAATAACATGGGATTGTCAGAATACAGCGGTAAGACTTTCTGCGCTGTCGGTTCGTTGGCACGGGGTTCCGCAGATACCTCTAACACATGTCTCGGGTCGACTCAGCTTTCTTACCTGAGCACTGAAGTCACCTGCTTTTATGATTGTATCTGAATGTATCGTCATATGAATCAAAATCGCAGCTTTCAACAGAATTCATTTTTCGCATCATACAAACTGCGATCAACGGGCATGCACACAAAGACTAAGTTAAGGTGTCGGCATGTTTCACGATCGTTCCTAGTTCTCACAATCCATTCAATCGAGCAGCACATATACGGCTGTTGGCTGGTATCCATTCGAGAAACGAGCTTTCTGCTCCACAACTCAATGCCATGTCTACACCTGCGAGTCTCCGGATATGCGTAAAGTGATTTCGAAGATTCATCCCGTTGGTCAGATGAGGCCAAGTTACTAATCACACTGTGGTTCAGCATAAGTGCCTCAGAAACACAGCATTTATCTATGAATCGAGATTCCAGAGTTTCAACAGATGCCTATTGCCCGACTTGGCATACGATTCGGACGTTGAAGGTTGTAATGTTAGGCCATAGTGAAAATCAAAATCGAAATGCACCCGTTAACCTTGAGCACATTCATGCAGTATACAATGAGTCACATCTATTGTGCGAGGACAAATGATACTTCCTGGCTATCCAAACCCTCATAGATGAAGCGGGGTTCGGACCCGTGACCCATAGGTTGAAAGTAATCTCCTTAGACTAATGAGTCATAGCTCCACCAACAGCAAGATCTTAGGAAACTAAGAGTAGTTTTCAGCTGGCAATAGTCGCACTGTGGGAGGTTGAGGAAGCTGCAATGGGCTTCAGGAAGTGAAGGAAAAGGAGGGTACAAACGTAAAGAGGGCAAGTTATGTTCGACTGTATATGACTTGGATCGTGTGAGTGGCCAGTACTTTTCGGTTGCCTAGGCTACGGAAGTTGTTTCGGTTGGGTGACTGAAAGAAAAAAAGAGAAGGATTCGTGTGACCCTAAAGCCAACGGGATACCCGTTTGAGATCAGTCACACATACTTCTGAGGATTATAAGTTTGAGATTTTATTGTTTTAACGCCAGATAAGAAAAACCCACACCGAATCTGACTTATAATCTAGTTTTTAGTCAAGAAAATGCTATCATGTACATTTCACTGTCCATGAAATAGATAAAATAAATAGGAATGCAGATTTCCCTCCTTTGATTGTTTTACATGACCAGCTTCAGTTCATTGACAATAAAGTTTTGCACATCACAGACTAATAAAACTCAACTATTAATTAAGTAGCATCAATATCACCTACCTTGACTTTATATGAGGTATGTTCAGTTTGGAACTTTTGTAATCGATCCATTGTCAAACGCTTCTCATGCAAAAGACTTTCACATAATGCACTTTTCTGGGTTAATTCAGTACTAAGTTTGACTACAGTAGATTCCAAGTCTTCTTTTTCAATTTTAGTACGGGATAACTCTTCTGCAAGACGACTCAATTCTTCACTATATTCCATATTTGCAGAGTGAGACTTTTGAAGTTCCCGTTTCTGTTGTTCAGCTGCATCTAACTTCACCCTGACTAAAAGATTTTTCATGCGATGTAGTTTTTCCTCAGATGTTTGAAGTTGACCTTTTAATTCTGCAGCCATACTTTCAGATAATGCAACTTTTTCATTAGCTTTAGTTATTTCATATTCTGCTACTTTCAATTTATCCAAAAGAATTTTATCTGGCAAGCCATTTGTTTTATCGTTTTCAGTTGAAATACATGCATCCGATGTGATAAGTTCACCATTGACAGCATTTACATTGAAGGCAAAATAATGCTTTATAATATGCTTCAAATTACAAAGGAACCTTTCCAAATCTTTTCCAATTTTTTTAATATCTTCAAGATTGTTAGACGTTATATTACTTACATCTACTTCATAGAGCATGTTATTATCTACTTTTTGGTAGTATTCAGCCAAAGGTAATAAAAATGAAGTATATAATAGTGAATCCTTTGATTTAGAAGGGAGTAAAGATTGACTTGTATCACAAGATACAGCACATGTTGCTTGTAGCTGGCATAGTCTAGTATCATGCATTTCATTAATGCAAGCAGCAGAAGTAATTTTGCTTGACAGACTATTTAGTGACAATTCCGCACGTTCAACACAACTCTTTAGGTCATCTACTCTTTCTTCTAAAACAAGTAGTTCATCACAGGCTGTATCTGTTTCTGTTTGGACATATTTTGATACTTGTAAATATTGACAAAAAAAAGGAGTAATGTGATTTGAACTTTGTTCTTGTTTTTTAAATGGTTCAGCAGACGAATGAGGTTGATTATTTGGATTTGTTTGAATTCTTTGACCGTAGTTTTCGGAGATTACTGTATCACTATCAGATGGGACAGAACAAAGTAGTATGCCATTGCTACCATTTGGGTAATGCTCAATCTCATTTAACATGATGCTACACTGATTGAATACTGGCTTTAATTCATCTATCGACAAACGACCCATGTTGTACAACTTCATTGAGTCCATTACCATGTTAAACTGCTGTAACAGTACAGTATCCTGTTCAACAGTAGCAATATTGTCTGAATTGCTAGCTGGCGATTCCGGTAGTACATCGAAACCTAACCTTTTGACAGTGTTTGTAGAATTAAGTACATTAGAACACTGAGAGGTGCAAGTTGATTTGTCAACTTTTTCATATGTTTCATTACTACTCAGATCATTGCCAGAGCCCCGTGACTTTAGACGTTCTAGTTCTGATCTCATCTTTGTATTGACCTTCCTCTCTTTCACTATGAGAGCCTTCAGCTTAGCAACTTTCTCTTGCTCTGCCTCAAGCAGTATCTTCAGGTCTTCCATCTGACTGATTTGTCTGGAGAATAAAAACGTAAACAAAGAATTCAAAGTAGATTCAACGGATAGATCGTTTTTAATTTACTGCTATTATTAGGAAAGAAAAGATGCACAAACCCATAGGAACCTCATTTTAAAGCAGCGCTGATCCGACATAACAGTATCGTTCTCGATGTTTTTGGGCTTTTTCAACCTGACTGAACTAATGAATACTTGCAAAAGCGGCTGTTCCCTAAGGTCATGTGTCAGAAAAGTTGGTTTGGGAGCGATGTAACAGAAGTCAGATGATATAATCTTATTCCCAACCGTGGTAGTGTACAACAACACTATTGGTCGTTTGAAACACAAACTTGGTACACAGACACCAAGAGATGGCCCCATACAAAGTAATACAGCAACACTGAAAAAATAACCACCCAGTCAGATAATTTTGGGGGAAATGGGAAAATTTCGAGACAAGACACGCGAGATAACTGAGGGAATTCGGAAGAAATGAGATAACTAACCACCATCTTCCCCAGGGTGCGTGCTTCTTTTCTCCAAATTACGCATTACTATACGTACCTTCCCGAAAAGACCTGACTTAGTAGGTAATTTTGCAGACTCCGTGCAGATAGTCGTGAGGCACCTATAGTTGTCAACCTTATACAACTATCCTTCATCCCTAAGGCATCAAGTAATACGACGCCCACCTTCGCTTCTTTCAACAAGTCTCAGGGCTATTAAACGACGGACGGTTCGGCAGCCAGTGGAACGACATTGTTTACATATGTCCAAGC